CCCTCCTCCCTAGGTCAGCTGCTCTGGCAAGCTGGGCCCGAGCCCAGCGGAGCGCGCTGCTGAAGGTGGCTGAGATACAGAGGAACCCAGCGGGACCCAGGCCGCCCCGACTGACGCACGGGGCTGGGCTGACTTATTCTCAACAGAAAGCCAGAGAAAAACACAAGATGTGCAGCGTCCACAGATGGGCAGCAGCTCCAACACTGCAGCCCGGCACGCGACCACCCCCCCCCCAGGGTCACTGCTCTCACCCCCACCACCCACAACAGCACTGGGCTCTCTCCTGTTGCCCTAACACCCCAAGGGTATGCTCAACTCCCAGCTGGGCTCACATCCCACCTTCACAGATCACCAGCACCCTGGAACACCCGCCGCCTCTCTGGGGGACTCCTCCCTGCTCTGTGTGACGGCGTCTGCGCTGCCGTCAGCCAGTCACCCCGAAGGCTCCAGTCCATACGTGTCTGCTGGGCTTCCGCAGGCGCTCGACAAACGCAAATCGCATGGGGAGCGACACCATGCACACACGCATGACATCCCTCACAGGCCACGGAGACGCGTGGATGCAGGCACTGGGTGGACGTTTGGTCTAGGGCTGAAGATGTCTGCAACCTATTATCAGTGACTTTTTTTTATGGCTATTATTATTACTATTATTATTTAGAGTGACTAAGTTTGGTTCCTGGTTCCAGTTCCTGATTCCAGCTTCCTCCCACTGCAGACCCTGGGAGGCAGCAGGGGACGGCTGAAGTAGCTGGGTCCCGGTCATACACACGGGGAACCTGCACTGAGTTCCCAGCTCCTGACTCCAGGCCCAGCCCGGCCTGGGCCATCCTGGACATTTAGACAGTAAACCAGAGGACGGGAGCATGTTTTCTCTCTCTATCTCTTCCTCCTCACCTCCCGCCCCGCCCTTCCTTCCCTCCCTCCCTCTGCCTCTAGAACTAATTAATTATTTAAAAAATCCAGGCATTTGGGGCCAGTGCTGTGGCTCAGAAGGTAAAGCTACCATCTGCAGTGCCGGCATCCCATATGGGCACCAGTTCGGGTCCTGGCTGCTCCACGTCCCACCCAGCTCCTTGCTAATGGCCTGGAAAAGCAGCAGAGGATGACCCAAGTGCTTAGGCCCCTGCACCCATGTGGGAGACCCAGAAGAAGCTCCTGGCTCCAGGCCCAGCCCTGGTCGTTGTGGCCATTTGGGGAGTAAACCAGCGGATGGAAGATCTCTCTCCTGTCTCTGTCTCTCCCTCTCTCACTGTAACTCCTTCAAATAAATAAATCTTTTTTTTTTTAATCCAGGCCCTTATACTAGGGTATCACATGTGCAAATGGCATTTTAAACTGGCACTGAATCACCCCTGTAATTACTGCAGGGCAGAAGGTGGCTGGGGCCAGAGGCAATCTCAGACTCCCCTCTGCCTTCCACGGCCAGCCTGGGTCAGGGTCAACGCCAGCAGCATCAGGGCGGTCTGCAGGGTGCCACAGGTCTCAGGGCATGGGGACGAAGGGAGAAATGAGGACCATCCAGACCTGGGCAGTTTTGCAGTGGTTTGGATCAAGCTGGGCACGACATGGAGACACAGAACGCAGACAGAGAGCCCGAGAGAGGCTCAGAGAGGCCTGTGTGGCCCAGCGCCTCCTTCTGCAGACACTCATGGAAGCAGGGTCAGGTCCTGGTCAACATCCGGGTCTCTGGGCCCCTGGGCCAAGCCTCTGTCCCACTCTCCTGATTTTTCATTTGCTAGGGGGGCATCAGGATGGGATGGGGACATACCCGACACTCATCACTCCAGGGAACACGCAATCATGGGCCACCCACCAAGACACCCAGCTGTCATTTCTGACATTCCTCCCGTGTGTCCCAGGGCCTTCTGTGAAATTGCATGATAAGGAGGCATGCTCAGCAGGTTCCCAGCAATGATTTCATCACCTCACTGCAGGCCAACATGTCCTGCAGCCGGGAAGTCCTTCTCAAGGTCTACCCAGAGGCTCGCCTGCTGTCAGACACTTTCCCGTCCTTTCCTTAGGACTTTGTGCAAGTGAAGAAGAGCTGCTGGCTCCTGGCCCCATCCGACCTTCCTTACGCCCTTGAGCCCTGCATCCCCCGCCAGCGCCTCGAGCGGTGTCCTACAGGCCCTGCTGTTGGACTGTCATCTGGGTACTCTCCTCTCAGCCACCCCACACACTTCCTCTACGACAAGGAAAAGCTGGAGCCATTCCGACATCTTAACCTAACAAGGGAGCGGAAGAGGCTCTGGAAAGAGGACACCGGGGGCCAAGATCCAGGGGAGCCCCACCCGCTGGCAGCTGGCCGGCCCCTCTGTACCAGGTGCAGCCCAGTTTCCACACTGGCCTCTCTGGGCCGGGGACTCAATCTACCCTCTCTGGCCCTCATTCTGGGTCTCTGAGTGGGGGCATGGAAGACCAGCATCCTTTGCAGCTTGAGATAACAGAATCGGGACAGAAGTCTGTGGTGGGGTCAGAAATGACCCCAGGGTCTGACCAATCCTCCAGCGATGCCTCCCCTGGGCCCCTGTTCAAGGGCCAGTCAGTGATACGCCACGGAGATTCCCGGGCAGACTGCAGGACCGGGCACCTTCCCGCACACCTCCACCTCGGGCACACGCGGCCAAGGTGGGGCTGTCAGAGGAGCCACCAGAGCTGCCAGCCACCCCCAGGTACGGGCAGGGCAGCTTCCTTGGCCAGCCACGCGGGACTTCCCCTGCGGCGTGGTCATGCAGGGATGCTGACCCGCTTTGACCCCTCCCCCAGAGGACATCAGGAGACGGCTGCCTCATGACCATCGGAGACAAGGCCCATCAGGGGCCATGTGGACAAAGACACCCCTCTAGAGAGGGCAGAGCAGGGAGAAGGCAGGCACGTCCCCACACCGCAGAGCCGCCCTGCCAGCCCTGACCACGCACCCTCGGCTGGATGCTGCCCCTGCTGCCCTGGGCACTGCTTTCACCTGAGCCTCGTCCCTCTTACTAAGCGGCAAGGCCCTTGAAAGCGGGGCTGTGGCTCCAGGCCCTCCCAGGGCCGAGCACTGGGCTGGTGGATGACTCGCCGGAAGTCCTGCTTGTCGGAGCTGTGCACGCTTCGGCCTCAGGAGGTTCCCCTGAGGTCACACAGCACAGCCACGCTCAGGCAATCCAGCCCCCCAACGCGGCCTTCCCCACACTCTCCCAACGTGAACACCCCAGGGCGTGCACCAGACCAACAAGACACTGCGTACACAAGGCTGCACAGGCGGCGGCCCTCCGTGACCTGGCCCCCTTCCACCTTCTCCCTCTGCGTGGTCACATGGATGCCACAGGTCAGGGTCTGGTGGGAATGTCAGGGACTCCATGGCCTGCAGGAAGCCCTGCCCAAGGAGCCCTGGTCTCTGGGCAGGTCAGGGACATGGGCGGGTTTATATGCAGAGACCCGCGCCTCCACCTGCCTAAGGTCATCCTCTAAAGTGAATCTACAATGTGCCAATGCCATCTGCCAAGAAAGGACCTACTAGGAGCATTGTACAATTCCATCGTTCATGTCCATGTCGCTTGCTGAACTCTGCTTGCCATAAGCCAGCTGTTGAGCTGATTCCTGAAGGCGGGATTGGGGTGAGCTGGTCCCTGCTGTGCCAGGGCACCTGGGGCAGGGAAGGGCCCATTCCACAAGCCCCAGCCCCACACCACTGGCCTGCATCTCCTGGCCAACTCCCACTCCCTCCTCTGCTGGGTGAAACAGGCTGAGAAAGGCCTTCCCAGGGTGCAGGAAATAGATGACGGGGAGGAGGGAGGAGGAGACCTTTTCTCCATCCCTAGGGACCCTGTCGGGGATGTTGGGACCAGGGGGAAAGGACAGGGAGAGGAATCCAGAAAAGGTGATAAAACGGAGAGGGAAAAAAGGACCCTACCCTGGAAGATTCCAGAATCCCTGCTGACCAACCCCCTGCTGACCAAATGATAGAGAGCTGATTTTTTTTCATCTCCTCAACCAGCCCTGTGTGTCCCCCATCCAAGTGCTCTAACCCTGCCTCCAAACCTTCACTCTGGGGCTGTGGCCCCCACACCCAAGTCCACATTTGCTGCTGAAGAGCTAAGGGGATCTTCACACAGAAAACCCCAGGGTGACTGGCAGGGCCTTGGGCCAAGGGAGAGCACCTGCTGCAGGCAGGAAACAGTGCTGCAGGGGGAGATAAGAGCCCCGGGCCAAGTCCCATCTGGGTCATAGCTTGACCCTCCATGGGCCTCTGCTGCTCCATCTGCAAGCAGCACGGGGCTGGGGGTGAGTGGTCAGACGGCCCCTCAGACACCACGGAGCCTCCTCCTGGTTTCCATACAAGGAGGCTGAGCCCCAAGGAGGGAGGACATGCCACCACATGTGTCCCAGAGTGCACAGTCCTGAACAGTGCGCAGCTGCCTCCACACCAGAGGGGCAACGCCCAGTCGCCTCAGAAAGATCCAGAACTGAGGTCCCTGAGCAGCCTCCATCAGGACACCATCATCAGCGCCAGAGACAAACTGGACCAAGCAAGCATCCCAGGGGAGCCCTTAGGACAACATGGGCAAGCAGCAGGTGCAGGCTGGGCCCAGGACAGTGGATTGGCCAATGGAGATGAACAGGCTTCTAATAGCAGCCCCCCAGGCCCCCAGGAGCTGTGTCCCAGGCCTTCAGCAGACCTGGAGTAGACGTGGTCTCCAAAGAGCCCCCAGCACTGTTTGTGGGCCCCATCAGCGTCGTGCATGAGCCCCCGGTTCCGTGATCTGAGCGCTGTGTAATATTCCACAGCACAAAACCTTCTCTGGCCTCTCGCGGTGGATACCGGGCTCTTTGCAGAGGTTTGTTCTACACAATGCTGCTACTGGAAGGAGGCCTTAGGAACCACTGTGTGGACAGGGGACAGGGAGGGCTTCCCAGCGAGGCAGATGCACCCCTCTCTCCACATCCCCCTGCCCACGAGCCCAGACACACAGACACACGACGAGCCCAGACGGAGCACGCAGCTGGTTGCCTACCTGCTGTGGTGGGGCTCGCCCTCGGGAGAAGGAACAGCTGCCGTCCAGCTGTTCGCTGCAGTCCGCTGTCCACTGCAGGGCAGAGAGGAGCGTCAGTGAGGGCAGCACAGACGGGCTCGCGCTCACCCTGCCCGGCCCCACACCTGCTCCTGACCCCTGCGGCAGCATCAGCACTAACTCCCACGCAGTGTTTTCCACGGCAGGCCCTCTCCCGCCGGCAGGTCCCTGTGGCCTCTCCAAACTCCATGTCCGAGAGACCACAGCCGTGGGCTGGGAAAGCCGAGCTCATTCCCTTCACCTCTGTCCACCAAAGCAACGAGGATCCAGCGACATTCCAAAGCCAAGTGGACACAACGCCCGCTTCTTCTGAGTTTTAGACACCTAACATTACCACGTTCGACCTCCTGGCCTGGCTTCAGCCACGCCAACCCTCTGCCATGTCAAAGGTAGCCAGGGCCAGAGTAGAGGCATGGGTGTGTGGCTCTTCCTGCACACCCAGCTCCAGATCTGACATTGGGGAAGAGCCCTGGACCGGCCATCAGCAACTCGGCTGGACGCCAGCGAGCTCAGGGGGCTGGTGTGTCGTCTGCAAGCCACCTGCACTGACAGTGCCCAAAACCTGCCATACAGAGGGAGGCCCCAGGGACCTGCATCTTGACGCACTCCCCAAGTGATGCATCTTAAGCGGGAGAGCCACTGCAGTCCCTGTGACCTCCTGGGCTTTGCTGCTCCCCCTGTAAAGTGGGACAGCAGTGCCGGGCGCCGCTGCAAACTTGGGAGGAAAGATGTCTGCAAGCTCTAAAACAGGAATAAAGGAGCAGGAGTAGAGCGCTGCCTGTGTCCGGGACCACCCGCTTTAGGGGGGTGTCGTTACGATCGTGTTACATGCTAGCCTCTCGGGCTGACGCTGCTCGCCACCAACCTTAACCTGCACTCTGTGTGACAGGCAGAAGGCAGAGGGGACTCTCAGGGGCTGCCACTCCCTGCTGGACAGCACAGGTCTGGTTTTCTACGACTCTGGCTGGGCTCGCCCTTTGCCCAGGAAAGATCTTGTGTTACCACGCTAGTTAATCACTGAGCTTGGGTGCAGGCGTGCAGCAGCGCTGGCCGGCTGGCAGAAACGGGAGCCACAGGTATAATGTTACATTTTCAAGGGGCCAGACTGTAAGGAGGAGGAGGCAAAATTAATTTCTCTTAACCCAATGTATCTCAAACATTATCACTTCAACAGGTAATCCATATAAAAGCCTACCAATGAGGTATTTCACATTCTTCCTTCCAGACTGTTTCTGAAAGCCACTTAGAGCACATGTCTGCTTGGACAAGCCACACCTCAAGGGCTCAAGAGCCACGCAGGGCCTGTGGCTCCCACCGGACAGCACAGCTCTAGAACTTCTGTGCCTGAGCCTGACCCCTGGGCTCTGGCAACACCATCTCCACCTTTTGAGGGGGTAACGACTCCCACAGGTGCTAATCTCTGGGTCATTTAACTTCTAGGCTCTTTTATCAACCAATTCCCTGACTAAACTTCCTCTGTTTGGACAAATGCAGTCTCGAGGTGTCTCCTCCAACGTATCTATTAATTGAAAAATGAGGAGCCCGACAGACACCACTTCAGCCAGGTGGTCCTGGTCAGGATCTCCCGTGACAAAACAAATCAACATCATGGCCTGCCTAGCACGATGTTCTGAGGATTCAGCCCCTCTAAGGTGCTCTCCCACAGTGCACAACGTCAAAGCAATGACAAGGGACACCTGGCAAACCAAACTGAAGAGCTTCCCACAAAGCCAGTGACCAGCACTTCTCAAAAGTGTCAAGGGTGGGGCTGGTGTTGCCGTGGGTTAAACCATTGCCTGTGTCGCTAGCATCCCATGTGAGGGCAGGATCGAGTCCCAGCTGCTCCACTTGTGATCCAGCTCCCTGCTAATACACCTGGGAAAGCAATGGAAGATGGCCCAAGCGCTTGGGCCCTTGCTACCCATGTGGGAGACCCTGATGAAGCTCCTGGCTCCTGGCTTCTTCACCCTGGCCCAGCCCCAGCTGTTGCAGCCATTCTGGGGAGTGAACCAGTGGATGGAAGAACATTCTAACTTTGCCTTTCAAATAAATAAATTTTTTTAAAAAAATTTAAAAAGTGTCAAAGTTGTGAAAGACAAGAAATAAAAAGACAGTGGCATAAAGTGAATAAAGAGACATGACAAAATGCAAATTTGGATCTTCTAACAGAAAGAGGGCATTTGCAGAAACACTGGTGAGATCTGGATGAAGCTGGAACAGCACTGCACTCAAGTTAATTTCTCTGTTCTGATCTCATACTGGATTATGTAAGATGTTCCCATTAAGGGAAACTAGGAGACAGCAAACACTCTGTGCTATGCTTGAATTTAGCTGTCAAATCTACAATAATTCCAAGAAAAATATCTTTATATGTAATACACATACGTAAGTACACAGGGTATACAGGCATGTATGTGTACACACCTGTGCATATATATACACATTTTTAGAATATATGCAGAAACCCACATGTGTGTGATGCTCGAAGTGCTATAAGAACAGCCCCTCTACTTTATATTCTCTCCTTTTAAGCGTCCCAAACCCTTAAACTCCAGGTGCACAGCGCCATGACATCCCACGGAATGGTGACTCGTGGGGGTGGGGAGGGGGGAGCCTGGCCCCTGGCTGGGTGGGCCCACCTGGGAAGCCTGCACTCATGTGGAGGCACTCATGCCAAGGCTTCACGTGTGTCCCAGTGCAACCTCGCCCTCCTTAGTAATCTGAGAACAGCTCCAAGCTCCTGTGAGGCCACTCAGCTTTGTCACCTTAACTCGACGCCCCGAGGCCAAAAGCCATCCCGAGCGAGCGCTCCCCGCATGGGACCCACAACAAGGCACTTCCCACACAGGAGGGGCAGCTGCGTCAAAGAGCAGCCGCACACGGAGCGGGGCCAAGGAGCAGCTCAGAGGAGGGAGGCATGCACAGGATCCAGGAGAGAAGGAAGGGAGCAGCCCAGGTGCCCGGAGCACAGGGAGCCCAAGCGTGCAAACAGCGGCAGAGCGTGGCTGGCAGGCCAAAGAAGACAGACCCGTCTCCTCTCTGGACATGGGCCAGAGCTTTGGCTAGGAAGCGCCTCCTCGGAGCAGGCACCCGAGGCAGAGCTGGCCCCACTGGGAGAGGGTCAGGGGACGAGGGTCTGGTGTGGTCTCACTGCAGGGTGGTAGGGATGGAAACGAAGACGTGGCTCTGAGAACACAGAAAAAGCAGCAGGTGCACAGGGTGACCTGTGTGCAGGGAAGCGAGCAAGCGGAGGGGTCGGGCGGAGTCCACAAAAACCCCTTGCAGAGCCCAGCCAGGCTGGAGACAGGCACAGCCCCTTGCAGGCGGAGTGACAGGGGTCCTGGCCATGGGCTTTCCTGACACCCCAGGGCAGAATGCAGTGGAACTGCCACAGTCATCATGCCAAGCCCCTCCCACCATGCACACGGGGCTCCCAACTCCCAGGGACCTCGACTCCATGCTGATGCCATCCATCAGCACGTGTGCCTCCTCCCGGGGGCTCCCCCTCTCTGATCCACAGTCCCTCCCATCTCTGGCTTTTCTTGGCACCAGGTGTCACCTCCTGCCTCTCCTTTGCCTTCTCTCAGCCACTGTCCAGACACAGAGTTCCCTGAACCCATCCTGGTCTAGATAAGATAAGATGGTTCTAGAATGGAGAAGCCCCCTCACCACACCCCTCTCCTCGGCCCATGTGCCGGAAATCCCACGCACGATCCTTTGTCCTTCAAAGCAAGCAGGCTCACAGCTCTGAGCCTTGTTAACATGGGAGTCCTCCAGGGAATAAAGGTGGTGTTTGATTTGAAAAGGCATCCGACAGAAAGAGGCAGGAAGAGAGGGACACATTCACACATGGGAGGGGCCGACGCTGTGGCACAGTGGGTTAAAGCTCTGGTCTGCAGCACTGGCAGCCCATATGGACACCAGTTTGAGTCCCAGCTGCTCCACTTCCATCCCAGCTCTCTGTTAATGTGCCTGGGAAAGCAAGAGAGGATAGTCCAAGCCCTTGGGCCCCTGCACCCATGTGGGAGACACATGGCTCCTGGCTTCGGATTGGTCAGCTCGGGCTGTTGCAGCCACTTGAGGAGTGAGCCAGTGGACGGAAGACACCCCCCACCCCCATCACCGCCGCCATGTCTCTACCTCTCTCTGTAACTGTCTTTCAAATAAAATAAAATCTTTAAATATGTATATATACACATGAGAGCAATGAACATGGAGCTCACGAGGGAGGGTTCAGGCCTTATTTTTTTTTTTTTTTTTTTGACAGGCAGAGTGGACAGTGAGAGAGAGAGACAGAGAGAAAGGTCTTCCTTTTGCCGTTGGTTCATCCTCCAATGGCCGCCGCGGCCGGCGCGCTGCAGCCGGAGCACCACGCTGATCCGATGGCAGGAGCCAGGTACTTCTCCTGGTCTCCCATGGGGTGCAGGGCCCAAGCACTTGGGCCATCCTCCACTGCACTCCCGGGCCACAGCAGAGAGCTGGTCAGGCCTTACTTTTAAAACCGGAAATAAACAGACCACAGGGCGGAGACTTAGCAACCCCGCGAGTGCAGATGCTCCCTCTGTGCTCTTCCCTCACAGCACACTTTAAGGCCTGACAACAGTGGAGATACGCATGCGCTCGCTGACATCTGCCCTGCAGGACGGTCAGTGTGGAGCGAGCAGACTTTGTGGAGGGTGGGAGAGACAGCGAGGTTCTGAGCACAAGGGGTCGGGGAGAAAGAAGGGAAAAGCTCAGAGTGGGGGCTGACGCTGCTGCCCATGGTGGCGGCCGGGGCGGGGAGGGGGGTTCCTTTCCAGTGGCATCTGACATGCAGGGAACAGGCCCTGCATTTAGCAAAGAATGCCCCATGGTTACAGCCAAACCAACCTGCTGAACCAGCACAGTGGAGAGAAACAGACCAGCCCAAGGGGCAGGCGTTTGGCACAGCAGTTATGACATCACTTGGGACACCCGCATCCTACATCCAAGTGCCTGCATTGGAGCCCCTGGCTCCACTCCCGATTCCAGCTTCC